GTCGAGGGTGAGTACACAGTGTGTGAAGCCACCATCGTTGTCTTGGATAGTTACTGTTGTTGTTTGTTTTATCAATGTCTGATGTCACCATCGTTGTCTTGGATAGTTACAGTTGTTGTTTGTGTTATCTGTGTCTGATGTCACCATCGTTGTCTTGGATAGTTACTGTTGTTGTTTGTGTTATCAATGTCTGATGTCATCATCGTTGTCTTGGATAGTTACTGTTGTTGTGTGTGTTATCAAAGTCTGATGTCAACATTGTTGTCTTGGATAGCTACTGTTGTTGTTTGTGTTATCAATGTCTGATATCACCATTGTTGTCTTGGATAGCTACTGTTGTTGTTTGTGTTATCAATGTCTGATGTCACCATCGTTGTCTTGGATAGCTACTGTTGTTGTTTGTGTTATCAATGTCTGATGTCACCATCGTTGTCTTGGATAGTTACTGTTGTTGTTTGTTTTATCAATGTCTGATGTCACCATCGTTGTCTTGGATAGTTACTGTTGTTGTTTGTTTTATCAATGTCTGATGTCATCATCGTTGTCTTGGATAGTTACTGTTGTTGTTTGTTTTATCAATGTCTGATGTCACCATCGTTGTCTTGGATAGTTACTGTTGTTGTTTGTGTTATCAATGTCTGATGTCATCATCGTTGTCTTGGATAGTTACTGTTGTTGTTTGTGTTATCAATGTCTGATGTCATCATCGTTGTCTTGGATAGTTACTGTTGTTGTTTGTGTTATCAATGTCTGATGTCATCATCGTTGTCTTGGATAGTTACTGTTGTTGTTTGTGTTATCAGTGTCTGATGTCACCATCGTTGTCTTGGATAGTTACTGTTGTTGTTTGTGTTATCAATGTCTGATGTCACCATCGTTGTCTTGGATAGCTACTGTTGTTGTTTGTGTTATCAATGTCTGATGTCATCATCGTTGTCTTGGATAGTTACTGTTGTTGTTTGTGTTATCAATGTCTGATGTCATCATCGTTGTCTTGGATAGTTACTGTTGTTGTTTGTTTTATCAATGTCTGATGTCACCATCGTTGTCTTGGATAGTTACTGTTGTTGTTTGTTTTATCAATGTCTGATGTTATCATCGTTGTCTTGGATAGTTACTGTTGTTGTTTGTTTTATCAATGTCTGATGTCATCATCGTTGTCTTGGATAGTTACTGTTGTTGTTTGTGTTATCAATGTCTGAGGTCACCATCGTTGTCTTGGATAGTTACTGTTGTTGTTTGTTTTATCAATGTCTGATGTCATCATCGTTGTCTTGGATAGTTACTGTTGTTGTTTGTGTTATCAATGTCTGATGTCATCATCGTTGTCTTGGATAGTTACTGTTGTTGTTTGTTTTATCAATGTCTGATGTCATCATCGTTGTCTTGGATAGTTACTGTTGTTGTTTGTGTTATCAATGTCTGAGGTCACCATCGTTGTCTTGGATAGTTACTGTTGTTGTTTGTTTTATCAATGTCTGATGTCATCATCGTTGTCTTGGATAGTTACTGTTGTTGTTTGTTTTATCAATGTCTGATGTCATCATCGTTGTCTTGGATAGTTACTGTTGTTGTTTGTTTTATCAATGTCTGATGTCATCATCGTTGTCTTGGATAGTTACTGTTGTTGTTTGTTTTATCAATGTCTGATGTCATCATCGTTGTCTTGGATAGTTACTGTTGTTGTTTGTGTTATCAATGTCTGATGTCACCATCGTTGTCTTGGATAGCTACTGTTGTTGTTTGTTTTATCAATGTCTGATGTCATCATCGTTGTCTTGGATAGCTACTGTTGTTGTTTGTTTTATCAATGTCTGATGTCATCATCGTTGTCTTGGATAGCTACTGTTGTTGTTTGTTTTATCAATGTCTGATGTCATCATCGTTGTCTTGGATAGTTACTGTTGTTGTTTGTTTTATCAATGTCTGATGTCACCATCGTTGTCTTGGATAGCTACTGTTGTTGTTTGTTTTATCAATGTCTGATGTCATCATCGTTGTCTTGGTTAGTTACTGTTGTTGTTTGTTTTATCAATGTCTGATGTCATCATCGTTGTCTTGGATAGTTACTGTTGTTGTTTGTTTTATCAATGTCTGATGTCATCATCGTTGTCTTGGATAGCTACTGTTGTTGTTTGTTTTATCAATGTCTGATGTCATCATCGTTGTCTTGGATAGCTACTGTTGTTGTGTGTGTTATCAATGACTGAGAATTGTCTATAAGCTATTCATTGTGCGTTTATCTGCTATAAACTCTAGCGGAAAATTCTGGTTGTTCTTCCATATCTGGACTTTAGTCGTCTTTTATTCTTTGTTAGTTCAAGAAAGCCACATGTCTCTTCACTGTCCTTACTACCGAACTTGTGAAGAATAGGTGTGTAAATTCTTCGTGTGTATATTTAGAGTCGCTTGGCTTGGGAATCGGCCACGAGCTGTAAAGGTTAGTTATTTCTATTTGCCTCCTATTATCATGGTAAAGCAAACTATAGGGTTCTTTTGCACGCCTTTAGGTGTATTGGGCATATAGGGCTAGTTCTTTATTTTATAGATTAAGTGGCTCTCGGTGGGTGCTGTGGTCAAGGTCATAAAGAAACAAGCATAACTTTAGAGGTCTCGGGTAGTTAGCATTCTTTGGATATTTTCTCCAGGTGATGCCGGTGTGTTAGGAAATGATCAAGCAGATAGACTTGCTGGCTCTGCACCACTTTGTGGTTAATTGATGTATGATAGGTTAGATATTGTTAGGGTCCTTTGGAAGCGAGTAAACAGTGCGGAGGAGCGGACAGATCATTACAGTCTTAGGAGAATGGCGCTGCGAGGAGTTACCATGGGATCTGGCCGAATTTCAACACTCAGGGAAGACGGATATACAATCAGTCGGTTACTGGCAGCATCAGAATTGAAACCCTTCGCTTGCTGCTGAAGGTGGGGACTGAGAAGTCGGGCGCCGTCAGGACCAGAAGCCATGACCTTCCAATCCGTAGGCAAACGTTATTATCTTAGTAAAGATTCTTATCTGGCTGCTAACCACAGTTGCATACAACCTGGTTTCCACTGAAATGCCAACTTGCCAAACTTGAGACCTCTCTACTGCATGTAGCCAGCATGTCTGTAGCATATGTCCAGTATTCTGTGGTGCCTGTCCACAAGGCCAACATTCTGAATCCCGACTCTTGACTTTCTTGCACGCATGGCTGGAGACGATAAGAAAGAGACAAACACTGTTCGTTGGCCACATAATGTTAAGAGATACATTGGAGAACATTGTAACTACTGGAAAGATCAGTTGAAAAATGGGTAGAGGCAGACCAAGAGAGATGATGCTGGATGGGCTGAAACGATGGCATGGAGGGATATCATCAAGAGAGCTGTTCCAGGCAACCAAGAAAAGTGATCTGTGGAGACGCATGAGCGCCTACGCCAGCTGGCAGGGCACATGATGATGATGATGACGATGATGCCTGAAGAGTCGGTTGTGTCCAGCAGGCACTCTCAATGCAATCGTAAGTTGCTTTCGTGTGGGGATGTTGATCAGGTCTTAGTGATTGTGTTCTGGGTGAGAAGTGTTTCTAGGGGTTTTAATGGCTGCCTCGATCTTGACTTACATTACTTTGTGTGTGCTCCCTTCTAGGCAACTCCACCTGTGTGACCAGGAACCCTTGTGCCCGAGGAACGTGTGTCCACCTGGCCAGCGGTGACTTCTGTGACTGCCAAGGGACAGGCTACACCGGTCCTACCTGCAACATACTAGGTAAGAAAAGCTGCTCTACACTGCTGTTTATTAGAATTGTGTATGTGAATAAAACGAACCAAAAAATGGTTCAAGTGCTGTATGGAACCTGTCTTGTTACATGCATGTACATCATGGCCAATGAGCGGATACGTTGAAAAACATTTACTCGATCTAGCATAGAATAGAAATAATAAAGGTTTGAGGTTTTCAACAACGGATCAACATCAGGATAAGCCCATAAGTGCTCCGTTCTTCTTCTAACTCAAGTCTGAGTCCGAAGAAGCTCAGCACAGTGCACAGGCTCTATAGCACCGCCGAGGATTCATGAAATACTTTGCGTAGACTCGAAGCATAGAGGTCCCAAGTTCAATCCCCGGTGAAGGCTGGGATTATCTTTTGCTCACGTGGACTTCTAGTAATTTTTCCTGGTCGGACTCCCGTGTGCATTGTTGCTCACGTGAAAAATCCCTTGGCAGTTAAAAATCGAAAAGAGTAGCCTTACAGCGGTGCCAGAGCAAGATTTGGAGTTAAAAATCTACCCAAAGTATTTCAGGATCATCGCCAGTGCTACAGAGCCTGTGTATTGTGCTGAGCTTCTTCGGACTGAGACTTGAGTTAAAGGTAGAATTGAGCACTTATGTGTTACTAGCTGTGTACCACGATGTTGATCCGTTGTTCAAACTTCAAACATATTTCGATTTGTTTAATAACTGTACTGAACTGAGCATGACAGGCAATTTATGCATCATTATCATCCTCATCATCATCATAATCATCGTCATCATAACCAGCATCATCATCATCACCATCACCACCACCATCATCATTATCATCATCATCGTCAGTCCACATCATTTAACAATCTAATATTAACTTGTTTCTGACGCCTACTCATTGCCATTATATACTTCTAACCAGCGGGAGACAACTACTGCTATCCGGGAGCTTGCACTAACGGCGTCTGTGTCTCGGGAAAGACGTCCTTCACTTGTAACTGTACCGGCACCGTCTACACGGGACCTCGTTGTGACATGACAGGTGCGTACCCTGTTAAAAGTTAGTTGCTTATGCTTTATATGACGTTACAGAAATAACCACAGGATGTATTTGCTGTTGTAGTTTTTGTAGGTAAATTTAACATTTAATAGTTTGCCACTGCTTTCTGTACGGTCAGCTCTTGGTGCCATTATCGAAACCAGCGAAAGACAAATCGCCCGCAGCAGGGATCGAACCCGAGATCCCGGCAATACGAAGCGCGTTTGTAACA